GTTTTTTACAGTGTTTTAAGCAAGTTTGCAATTCCACTAACAAGACAGATGGAAGTCTGCCTTATGAATAGTACCAATAAAGTATTCACCATTGTTGCTCACTTCCAGAAGTCAGGAGGGAAGGGCCAATAAGAGAGAATTAACCCATACAAAAGGAAAATATTGTTTAGATACTTGCTCAAAAAACCACAAGAAATCTAAAAGCCAAATAAGGTGATACAGTATTTAGCCTTCCAAAAAGCCCAGCATTAGCTTTAGATAAAATAACTGTATGTTCTTCACACTGAAAACTCAGTGCATTCCTGAACATATCCCATGTGAAATTCTGATAGCATCTGAAGGTGTAATTTCCGAAGTCTGTGTTGCCAGTGTTTCCTGTTTTCAATAATGAAAGTGATACTGGAATTTTAGAAAAGAATCCCTAACAGATAAAGCAATTGTGTCCAATTTATCACAGGCTACCACAGCAGACAGGTGTCTGTCCATTTCTATAGGCATCTATATTTCTATCTATATGTGCAACAGTCCAGAACTCAAAGCTGTGTATACCTGCCACTACCTTAGGTGCATGTACACTGAACTCAATATCTGTGAACTCTACATGGCCACAGAGGCAATCCAGAATAAACCTCTACTGTAGGATATGCTCCTGGAACACCAGCTCCTTACATGCCAACAGCCTTATGAGAATAACAACAGAGCTGCTGGAAGTGCAGAGGTGGCAATCCATTCAGCTTATGAACAACTGATTCCTTTTGTATTACATCATTCAACTACCCATTAAGGAGCTGGACTGACAGGATCCAGAACATGCATAGCCCAGCCCTCCCTGGTAAACGAGAGCGTTCGAAAAGATTAAGACTCAAAGAAATTGGTGATTCACCAGGGTGTCAAAACAGCGCTTCCCCAATTCCCAGCAATGTTCTAGGCCAAGCAGCTAGCCACATATTAGTAACCTCTGTCAGACTTCCAATTTTGGAGTTAATTGTTGTTCCTGAAACACATACCCAGACACAAAATACCTGCAGCAGCACACATCACAGAATGAACACTGCCATGGCTATCCTAAGCACACATTTATGCTGTATTACAGTCACACCTAATTTGAGCACACCAAAGTGCCTTTGTTGTCTGTGGGTATTGCTCTGAGCACCTGCTTCTGAATGGGGGGCACCCTCCTTTAGCAAGGGGATGGAACAGCTACACACAGATGTGAAAGATCAATGATTTCATAAATCCTTGCCTCCATCACATCACCAAAGTTTAAGTACCACCAGCTGGGAAGCAATTAACAGAAATTGTTTCTATCTTGTAATACTTTTATGGAACTTAAGAAGATGAATGGGTGGAACAGAAACTGACTTCTGGTCTGTTTCTAACAAGTGCCTCAAACTTGTTGGTTGTAGACACATTTTTATCATTAGACAGTCAAAGTCATTATATGCTTAAAGAGAAAAGAAACAGGTTGCTGGAATAGCAATGGGCCTTCCTCAATTATCTGGTATTTACAGCACAAAAAGGTTTTTTGACCAGGTGAAATATCACTGTTTATATTCAGTGCAGTTGCTTTAGAATGCTATTTTTGTGTTTAACTATTATTGATACACTAGCTTGACTTGAGTTTAGCACAGAGGAGTTAATGCACAGGAAAAGAAAACAGAGCTTTCCCAAAGCATTAGCTTGAAAATGCAAATACAGTTAGAACTGGTGCCTTTGACAAAGCACATTATCAGTTCAGGGGAAGGGGTTGTGTGTGTGTCTTCTCTTTTTTAAGGGATTACAAACTTTGAAATAGCACTAGTTTTAAGTTTTACATCACTTTCTCCATCTTAATTCAATTAGTGGCTTCTGTGGTGAAATCCACCTGTCTAGATCTTGCATATGGACTAAAATCAGAGTACTAATTTCAGCACGTGCATGCCTTGTTTTCAGAACAACATTGCTCAAACACCTTTCCAGGGCCTTTACTACAAGAGTAGCTTTTATTGCCATCTTCTACATAGCTCTCCACACATCATTGCCTGTTTCAAAACTGCAGGGAGAGGGTTAATTCTCTTCCTTACAACGTCCTGTTTTGTAACATCCTGCCCTTCCTACTCATACCTGTGTGCCCATTCTAAATGCAAATGCACAGGACTTCCAATACACCTGGTGGCTGAGTATCACTGATCACATGCAGGGAAAAAAATGCAGCCTGAGATTATTTTCTACAGCTTTGTCTAAGACTTAGACAGACCTGTTGTCCAAAAATGTCATTTTGCTAGTAAATGCTTAGAGGAACAGAGAACTTTGCAAACCACATTTATTACGCCTTATGGCACGTAAGTTTTGCACACGGGTGCGTACATGAACACACACACAAATCAGACTCCCAAAGCTTAATAATCTCCAGACTCCAGAATACATTTCTTTGCTTGCTTCATCTCTTTCTGCCAGCAACAGCCCTCCTGACACTGCATTTGTGAGCTCCCTCCACAGCCACCTTCGCACCTCCAAGGCAAGAGTGTTCTTCTTCAGGATCGATAAGGCTGCGGCCTTTGCAAAACCTGCTCCTTGCAGCACAGGCACGAGAAGAGTCAAGTCAAGTGCTTTACATTCTCATTTGTGTGCCTTACCTGTTAATTTACGAGAATGTGAATGCCTGATGAATATATATAGACACCATGGAATTAAACATTAATCGCGCTGAAGGTCCTAAAAGCCGCCTAGTTTGAAAAAAAATCAAACTGATGGAATACATCTACACCTAATTACTTTGTTTTTTGTAACTCCTTTTTTGCTACCTTTAAGCTGTCGCTTTAGATTTGTCATGCACTATGGCCACAAACATGCCTTTTCCGTGTCTAGCATGTGCATTCTGTGAGGTAATGTAATAAATATTTAACAAAGAGTTTATATTACCATGCCAATTAAGCTCTCAACTGATTTAAAGCCAAAGCTGCTGCGAGATAGGAGACTAAATAAGGGACGCAGCAACAGATCGGTGCAGAACATGTAGATGAGACAAACTTGCCTCCATTGACTTTGCATTTCAGCAAATAAACCAAGGCTTTAACTTCACTCTAACAGAAATAAAGCACCACCATCAGAAACTGCCCACATGGTATCTGTATGTCTCAAAGAAACAAAACCCCCCAAGCTCCCATAACTGCTTCCAGTTCCAGATCTTCTGTTTTGCTCTGTAATGAAACATTTAAGATACAGCCCCATATCTAAGCACTATAGACAATAAATACATATCAGCCATTTGTACTTTCTCTGTGTATATTGGCACTACAGCCAGCCATAAAAAGCAACCAAGGCAGCACATGCTGGTGTGTGCTTACACCTTTAGTCCTTCAGAGTGTTTGTGTATAAATGGGTAAAAAACACCTGGAAAAAATGACAAGGTAAACAGTTCAATGTAACCCAGAACATTGTGTGCGCTTAAGGACCTGATTACATACAATTGTTTATTAAGGAACATCCAAGAGATCAAATGCTTTCAATTTTCTGCTTGTAAATTCAATGTTTGTAATTCATTTAGGAAAACTTTTACCTCCATTTGAATAAAGATTATTTTCCCCCAAAATGTGAGACCAATTAAACATAGAAGTAATTGTGGCTTCTGTATAGAGAATACCTACATGAATGACAACACATCTAGAAGCATAAAATTTTCTGTAGACATTATACATAAAATATAGACTGCTTTTTGTATGTGTATTATCAGGCCTCAGCCTAGTTTTGACCTCCCTTTCACCTCCCACAAAAGAAATTAAAAATATAAAAATATCAATGTTGTTCTAATAGCTAGAATGAGTAAGCTGATTAGCTTTATATCTTGAGAACTGACTTGAAGAAATGCTTACAAATCAGCAGGGAGAAGTGAAAGTTCAACTGATAAAAAGTTACCAGACCAGAATCAAAACCCAAGAGTTGTGAAATACCAGCAAGTTGAAAAAAAACATACAACACGCTTTGACCTTTGAGAATTTATCCAATCTGTAAAAAACAGCTAAGTCTGACATGAAACTTCAACCACAAGACAGACCTTCCAATAGCAATCCTTGAGGCAGCACTAGAGAAAGATTCCTTCTCCAATTTTCCTAAGGATTCAGAGGCCAACAAAACTAGGCCAGAGACAAGAGGCAGAATCGGAAGCCAGAATTCCCATGGTTTTACCCCAAGAGTGACTCAAGTTTAAACAGTGGTTTTGAAACCAGCTCTCTGTCTCTGTGGCCACAGGCAAGTCTTAACCACTTTGCCTCAATTCGCTTACCTGCAGAATAAAAATAATTATACTTATCTGCCACACAGGAATCTCACACAACAAACACTGTTTGCCAAGCGCACATCTGTTTAAACTGCGGACAAAGCTACGTAGTAATTTCGAGCACCTGGACAAACTGAAACCGAGAGCGAAAACAACTCCGAAGGCCCAACAACAACGAAATCCCGGGGGCAGCGCAGGGCCGGAGCGCTCCCGCCGGCGATTCACCCGCTCGGGGCACGGCCGCCGTGGAGAGTCAGCGCCGTGCCCGGAGCCCCGGGCCAGGGCCCGGCACCGCCCGCTGCTCCGGAGGGTCCCGGCCGCCCATCCGGCCCGGCCGCAGGCGGGGCCCCCCGGCGCTCGCCCCGCTCCCGCTCGGCCCGCGGCACACGCGGCTCTCCCGCAAGGCCCCGGCGGCGCGGGGGCAAAGCTCACCCGCTGTGCCCGGGGCGGCGAGGCCGCAGTGCGGGAGCGGCCCCGGCGGCTCGCCCGCCCTACCCCCGCCGGCACCGCGGCCCCGAGCCGGGATCCTCCTCCTCCTCCTCCCTCCCGTCTCTCCCCCGGGAACCGCCTCGGGTGGGAAGATGGCGGCTCCGGCCGCCTCCCCGGTGCGAGGGGGCGACGGAGCGGGGGGTGTCGCTCCCCCTTCGGCCCCGCCATCCCCCCGCACCGGGAGACGCGGCTGCGGAACGGCCCCGGCGGGCGCCGCCGCCCGGAGGGCGCGGGCCGGGCGGCCCCTCGCACTCACCTGTCACCAACAGCCGCCGCCGCCCTCGGGCCGGGGCTCGGCGCGGGGGACGCGGGCGGGCACGGGGGCGGGGGGGGGCTCCGCCGGCGCGGGGCCTTTCTCTCCTGTCGGGTTCCCGCGGGCGCCGGGGCCTCTCGCCGCGCCGCCGCCGCCGCCGCCGGGGCCTCGCCGCCGGATGCCGTGAGGAAGAGAGCGGAGCGCGAGGCGGGGCCGAGGGGGCGCGGGCGGCGGCAGCGCCGGGGGCGGGCGGGGCGGGGGGGGGCGCGGGGGGGCGGCGGCGGCTCCGGGCCCGAAACGTCTCCGAGCCGAGACTCAACCACCCGCTCGCATGAGAGACCCGCTTCCGGCTCCCGGCGGAAGTCCCGCCCCCGCCGGCGGAAGGGATTGGCCGGCGCCGCTCGGCCGGGCGCCGCCGCGCGCGGATTGGCGGAGAGGGGAAGGGGGGAGGGGGCCCCGGCGCGCGCGCGGCGTGTGACGCGCGGAGCGGCGCGTGAGGCGCCTGACGTCACCCGCCGCGGAGGGGCGCGCGGGGGCGGGGCCGGCGCCGCCCGCCCCCCCGCTCCCTCCGCCGGAGGCGTTTTGTCCCTTCGCAGGCGCCGTAGCCCGGCTGGGAAGTGGCGGGAAAAGAGCCGGGAAAGGGAAGGGAAGGGGGAAGGGAAGGGGAAGGAACGGGAGGGCGGAGGGTGGGAAGGGAAGGGAAGGGAAGGGAAGGGAAGGGAAGGGAAGGGAAGGGAAGGGAAGGGCGGGTCAGGGGTGATGTCGCGGAAGCGGCGCCTCCTGTCCCGCTGTCTCCGCCTGTGTCTCCGGCAGTGTCCAGCCGGCCCCGGGCGGTGTCTCAGCCCTAGGGACGGAGCGGGCCGGGGCAGCGCCCGAGGCCGCGGGGCCTCAGCGAGGGCTGCGGGTGTGGAGCACGCCCAGGTCCGTGCTGCGGTGACACCGGGCACGTTGTCGCCTTCTGGAGCCCTGCCATGGCAGCACGGGAGGGGCCAGAGCCTGTCCGGAGTTACCGCAGTGTGTCCCAGCTCCTGCTGTAGCTGCTCCTGTGTCAGTGAGCAGCTGTGGCTCAAACGGAAGTGATAAATAGCAGAATTTTAGGAGAAGAGTATTTAATGACAGAGCCTTGTGTTTCACGTGGGTTGTGAAAACCTGGAGAGTCTTGTCTCATAGAATCACAGAATGGTTTGGCTTGGAAGGCACCTCAAAGATCATCGAGTTCCTGCCCCCTGCCATGGGCAGGGACACCTTCCCCTGGTCCGGGTTGCTCCGAACCCCATTCAGCCTGGCCTGATGGAGCATCCACAGCTTCTCTAGGAAATGTGTTCCAGTGTGTGGAAAACACCAATCGCTTGTTTTTAAAGTTTAATGGCAATAAAATGATTATAAAAATAGTAATACAAATAGAGTAATAATAATTTGGACAATTTGAATTAGGACAAATTGAATATGAGACAATAGAGACAAAGAGTTACTGACAGTCTGGGTACTTTTTTCTGGGCAGCACGAGCCCGAAAAAGGACACCCGTTAACAGGATTAACCCTTAAAAACAATAACCTGTTGCATATTCATACATCTCATACATTATGCATAAATTCTATTCAAATACGGGATTCTGTCTGGTCATCATCAACTTCTTCCTCTGAATCCTGACAGCACCTCTGAGGGGGGAAGATATTAATTTCTTCTGATAAGGGAGCAATAAATTCTCTTTCTCTGAAAGATTCAGGTGTCCTGTGGCTGCTATCTCAGTGTGAGTCCTTTCTTTAGAAAGAAAGTATCCTACTGCAATACTTGCTAAGAAAGAAAAAGAAAAATATTCTGATTTTAAACTCTCAAACATGATAAGCCCCATTATATCCTTGTTCTTGAGTTGCCTCAAAATTCCTTACCCCTTTAGACATGCAGTCTTCACATCTTCCCAAGCTGGATTCCCATGCAACACTTGGAGAAACTTTTTCTGGAAAATTATAGGAGTTTTCTACCTGCCTGTGCCCCTTCTCATTCTCACTGTGGGGGATGTAGAACTTAATCTCTAAAAATGCTTCTGCTTTTTAATGGCACACTGCTGAGATCAAAGAGGTTTGATGTTTTCCTTGGTAGCTGAGGAGTGTGTGGCCAGATGGGAGTGAAATGTTACAGATTTCATGGGTGCTCTGTGTAATAGTAGAAGCTACTCCTGTTTCTACTGCCTCTCATACTCAGCAGTCAGGAGAGAGAGTGCACCTCTGAAGGAGCAATGTCCATGAGTGATTGGACCCTTAGTCTACAAAAATCAAGCAAGATTAGACTAACTAATTGTTTTTCCCTTGATCTGTGGTCAATCAGATATAAAAAGGACCATGTAAGTTATTTCTCAGTGTATTAGTGATATATTCTTAAAATTACACTTTGGTCTGGAGGAGTCTCAGGAGGAGCCTCATTGCTGTCCAAAACCCCCTGACAGGAGGTTGTAGCCAGGTCAGGGGCAGTCTCTTCTGTCAAAACTCAGTGAAAGGATGAGAGGGAATGGCCTTTAGTTGTGCCAGGGGAAGTTCAGCTTAGATATTAAAAAAAAAATGTTCACTGGAAGAGTTGGCCAGGCACTGGGATGAGCTGCCCAGAGGGCAGTGGAGTCTTTGGAAGTGTTCAAGAGATGGATGCGACACTTGGGGATGTGGTTTAGGGATGGTTGTGGAAGTGCTGAGTTGATGGCTGGTCTAGATGATCTTGAAGGTCTCTTCCAACCTCTTTCATTCTGTGATTCTGTAAGTTTTTAAATTAGGATTCATAGTTCACAGGGGGAAAAAAAAAGGTCTTTGGTATGCTTAAGAGGATAACTCTGTACAAAGAGGAACTGCAAATAATGCAGTGTTCTTGGAAGCTAAACCTAGAACTGAACAGTCAGAAAATCAAACCTTCAACAGTCACTGGATGTACTGAAACACGGGCTTTACAGTCTTTATGATCTCCTCTCAATATAATAAAAAGGATAATATTTCCTTCATCACAAGAGCATAGAGGATTAATTCATTGGAGTTTCTGAGGCACTTGGGTGGTATGATAAAAACTTCCACTAACACAGAACTAGATTTCTGATTTGTAAGGAATTTCCTGGTTTGGACTACCTCTTTTTTTTTTTTTTTATTTGTTTCTTTGTTTGTGAGTTTGTGGTTTTTGTTGTGTTTATTTCTTTTTACTCCTTTGAAACACACTTATAAACTATTTTACCCTTCAGATCTATGGGATAAGGCTTCATGAATCACTAGTATTTAGGAATTGCTGACCTAGAACATTTGCCAAAAGTCACAGACCACTTAGTACTCTGCAATTTTGTGACATCTTATGAGTCAAGCAATATTTTACAATTCCTGAAGCTATTACCCAGCTTTGCAGGAAGAGAGGTATTTTGAAACCTAAGATACTAAATGATGGTACACAATGGGCTATTCCTGTCATAAAACTTTAATAGAATCCTGTAACCAGTCTCTATTGCATGGATTTGATGAGTGACATTTTAAATATATATTATTTCCATGTCAGTATCTTTCATAAGCCACAAGTAAATATATGATTGTGCCAAAGACAGTCCTTGTTCCAAGTAAAACTATCTCAACAGCCAACATGGAGGACATGAGAAGCTAAATAATCCTTCCAAAGGGAGAGGAAACTAAAAGAGATTAGGTGACCTGATGAAAGATTATACAAGATGGGCACATCTAAGTTTCAGCTCCAAGTGGTATCCTATAGTTTAGTGAAATGTTCAGGCTTCCTTTGCAGCTAAGTGAAAATAAATTATCAGGTAAACTGATGAAAGGCCATTATTGATCAGATAGATTTATGATCCCTGTTACCCCATGCGTCTCTAACTGAAGGAATGATCCAGGTTCAGATGAGGTAGACAGAGATGTGTTCCAGTATAACTTTTCTTGTTTGATGTTTAATGGCATGCTGTTCACTTTCCCAACTAAGTGCAGATGTGTAACACAGAGTGTTCAGTCTTAATAAAAGCTGGTGATAACGGAGATCTGGTTCTGTTCTAGTTGAACATCATTTATAACACTGTTGTGAGGCTACCAAGAGACAATTCCTTAATTACATGCAGTGCCAAAGCGCAGCTGGGCTGCAGTGGGATCCTGGTGCCCAGGCAGCAGCACTGAGTGCCCACACGTGCTTGGCAACATGAACACATGCATTTTGTGTCTTTCTTGGATCTTAGATACCCAGCATTCTAAAGTGCTGCTGTAGAACCAGTTCAAAGAGCCCCACTCTCAGCAGATTTTCCCTCTGGCCTTATCCCTGCAGCAGGTGAGTCTGAATTCTTTAAGCACAGAGAGCACTTTAAAATCAGGCTGTAGGGTGGGTGCAAGCCATTGTTAAACCTGGGGTTTCATGAACACCCTGTAAAAAATGTCTAAGCTGTAGATGATTCCATAAATACTAAAACTTGTTTACAGCAGCTGATTGCAAACTTTCAGGAGGTGGTAACAGTGATAATTACTGATAATTGAGCATAATCACAGATCTGAAAGTTGCCATTCTGTTTCATGGACCTTGCACTACCATAAAACTGGCACAGGCCTTACTCTGTCTATAGATAACAGGTTTGTAGCAGAGGCAGGACATGAAACCAGATCTTGCAAATTCTGGGTTTGAGCAATATTCTGACTTTGATTTAGTTATTGTTAATCTGTGACATATTTATTTCTTTAGCTTGGGCCCATTTTAAAAAGCCAATTAAACCTTAATGAAAAAAATTTATAATTTATACATTTTCTGGCTGAGTAAAAATTTTTAAGGGGTCTAGAATCTAATGCTTTCTTAGCACTAAGGATATTAGCAATTTTCTGCCTTTGTACCTATTTTCATCATTCTATCACTGCTGTTTCTGAACACTTCACAACAGTCTTTAAATATCATTATAGCTTCTGTGTGAAGTATGAGTGTATTTATCCCTATCAACAGCTGGCAAACTAAGGCATGAAGATGTTTGAGCTCTGTGTTGTAACAGATCCTATACAAAAGTTGTATATACCTTGAAAAATGATCATAATTTTGTATCTCTGTCCTCTTAGGCACTATACTAAGATTCTGTGGG